TTATTTAGTCTTTTATTCATTCCTATGCTATGTTCTTTCCCTTAAAATAAGCAAAGAAAAGACTCTTCTAATTGTATTTTTTTCCCCACAATTTCAATACAAATCAATATGTTTACATTCTGTAAACAATTCTTAAAGGTGGAATTACTTCACCCTACTAACAGAGGTTTTTCTTGCTTTAAACGCTCAACAGGCAGGAACTACAACCTCATGTTGTTTGTCCAAACTTTATTCATCCCCACAGAATTTTAATTTGGCTTCTAGAGACCCCCAAAGAAACATGCCAGGCTGTATTTTGGGGAAATGTGTCTAAAATGATACACAAGACATCTGGGAGACAGTGAGGAACTAGCTTATAATAATGTTTAATGTTTAACATTTTGGGAAGTTTCCTTATTCTCTGTGTCAAGCCGAGCATAAGATGACAATGATGTTGATGATGATGATGATGATGGTAGAAGATTGATAGGACACTCTTATATCTGTGCAATAAATGTAGGTGAGACTGGTTCAGGGATGATAGCCTGAACTTGCTTTTACCAGTTTAATGGCAGGAGATATGGGAAGTGTGGTTCTACAAGGGATGTTGGATTCCCTTGTAGAACCACAGAGAATCATAAGGTTATGCATTGCATATGATTTCCATTAATAACAATACTGAACAGCATAACTAACAGAGGATGGCACATTCAGATCAGCTTAATATAGGCCTACCGATATCAATGATAAAGGTAATAAAATACAGTTACACTCAGACATACACCTTACTCAGTCAGATTTGCTGCATAGTATTAGGGGGCATACTGCATCTCTGTCTTCTGTGCTCTGTTCCATCTTTCTCATAAAGTACAGCATTCATAATTTCAGGCTGGAGAGTGCTCAGTACTGTACTGTATATCTTAACTCAACAAAAACAGTAACACACTGAACTGAATTCACATCACAACCACATAAAAAAAATGGAAATGTAGCCTATCACTCTGCTATACATAACTGCCACATGATTGTGCCCACAATTTACTGTTATACGGTCATTTAGCCTAGATAAATACAAATGTCTCAAATTGCAGCTAAGCGTCTATGACTATGTGCATGAACTGGTGAAGATTAAGCCAAATCTCTTGATACAATAAACGTTACATTAACTGTGAGAAGCTTAATGAGCTTAGCTTAGCTTAAATTAAAAATGTGGTCATATTAAAATTCTACACATGAATAAAAATACAGATACAATGTTAATTTAGTTTGGCTTCATTCACTCACACAGGTAGCTAACCCAAATGTGAGAAAAACTCGCAGTAAACTGGTAAATAAAGTCTATAACTGCTTTTTTTCATAGACTGAGCTTCTGTTTTTCTCCAGCACTAACTTAATGGCTCATGCAGCCAAGGGGGCGAGATACGCCAATGCATATCACACGATGAGTCCCCTCTCATCAGGGAGTCTCTTGAACAATAACTATAAGCCGGAGCCACTTAGCATGAAAACTGGAAACACGAGGAAACACGAGGCCAGGCTCTGTCCAAAGCACCAGCTTAGCACATTATATCTTGTTTGTTTAATCCCTTTAAACGGTGAAAAAAGTAACTGACGAAACCACACATTTTTTGACATACAACAGGTATGCTAATCTAACCAGCTCTTATGTCTGTATGTTAACTTCATATTTAGCATGCAGACATAACAGTCTTCTCATCTAACTTGAATAAGCATATTTGCCATAATGTCAAACTGATCTATCAAAGCAACTTAAGGAAAGTTGTAAAAGCTGAATATGCTGGAAGGCCAAAAAAGACTAAATAAGAAGATGCTAGTCTGATAAGGTGGCATACTCAGCAGTGTCTCACTGCTGAGGACAATTTTCCACTGACATGGACACTAACCATTAAATAAACCTATTTACTCAAGTAATCCTCCAAAGTTTTGTCACTGAAACATAAGTAGTTTATTTCTTGAGGCACCACACAGCAGAGAGGATTTAGAATTTTAATGTCAGTGTAGTGTCTTCGGATAATTACAGGGGGCAGTTGACCATGAAATTCAACCCACCTTGTTATTCAGTGACATTTGAATTATTGGAATCGCTCACAGACTCATCGGTTGAAAAGGCCAGTCTCCGCGCAGTGTGTGTGTGTGTGTGTGTCTGTGTTTGTGTGTCTAGGTGATCGTGTGTGTGTTTTTGAACTTCTAGTCTTGTGACAGCCAGTCTGAGTTTAAGGAGTGGGGACAATTTTCACAAGGTGAGGTCACTTTGGCCATTCCGTATTTTATCAAGGGGCCATTTTACGGTCAGGGACATAATTAAGTCTACGCTTCTGAGGATAGTTACACAAGGGCACAGAGGCATAAACAAGTATGTCTGTGCGTGAAACGTGTGTTGCTGTACTTCTAAATAACAATCACTAACAATTTGTGCCTATAAAGCTCAGAGTGATTTTATGGTGTGTGCAGAATTATAATTTTTTTATATTGTGCACATGTATATCCAGAACTAAAATGTGATAAACATATGTGTTGCTGTCTGTGTGTGAGCCGTGCGCTCTGACCCTATTGATATTCCAGTGGACCATATATTGGATGGATAGAATCCCTGTTGACTCAATTAGGGCTGCATATTGTTCTGCAAAGCATTGAATAATGTGGGGACAGACACATTGACACTGTCTGAGTCTGAATATAAATGACCATGTACTCGCGCAGATTATCCCCCCCTCCCCCCATTATGAGCTTTAGTGTCACATATTTCAGGCTTGATTGACAAGTTTCAGTGAAGCACTCAAAACGTCAAACTGGATCAACTCCTGTATATCCATCCGAATAATATGAACTAGCTGCAGTACAAGCATATACCACCTTCCGAAAGACATGAAATGTCTATGAAGTAACTTTACATGTAAAGGTAGGGGATTGTGCATAGGCTGAGAAGTGTACATACTGCACCAAACTCTCTTCAGTGCAGACAGTGATTGCTCTGAAAGCTTTTCCACTGGAGGCCTTTTCTTTTGCTTCGCTTTCATGAGTAAACTTACATATAGAGATGATTACCTGACTCTGTAGACACCCAGGCCCCCAGAAAATAATGCAAACAGAAAATAAAGGGCCGAGATATACTATCACTCAGACTCTGCCGCAAGAGAAATACAGCAAAATATTATTTTATGCCATTTTTTTTAATCTTTCTGTCTGGTTGAATAAGTATTGTCAAGTTTGGTGCCTTCCATTAATATGTTTTATGTCTGCTTCATACCATATAGTTTTTCTTTGAAAGATGGTGTCTCTCTAGAGTCTAGGGCTCCACTGAAACCCCAGAGGTGTGCACAGAATCCGAGTCACATCTGGTCATAACGGGTCCAAATTATATAAATCAAGTCAGTTAGGATCTTGTTTCACCACCATGGGTTTAAAGTCTGTGTGTCACTGTGTATAATACCCTCTGATCACCTGGTGCATCATAATCAGGAAGAACTATTACATGTATAATATTTATGGTATTAGATGACACTTACATTTTGGAATTTTTTATTAAATTGTTCAGAGCATGTGTGTCACTCCCAGTTGAGTATTCAGGATGTTTTATTGTTGGAGCAGGCAGTGAAAATAGGACTTTTAATTATTTCTATTAGTCTTTAAAGCATATAAACAAATGGATTTAGTTTCTATGACTTTACTCATTCTTAGAGCATTGTTATTAAATTGCTGCTCTTTTTGACTGCAGCAGCTTGTTAACTGATGCCAGTGTTTTCTATCATCCGTTCAGATCGATCAGAGTTAATTATCCCTATTTTATGCAAATTGATTTATGTACATTTGGTTTAAGTAGGTTTTCCATTTTGGATCAGGCCAAACGTTTAGGCCCAGGGCTCAACAGTTGAGGAGGGTCAAATATTATAATAATATAATATTTTCACTCATAGTGATGAATCTACAGAAAATTATCACCTGAATCTGCAGCTCCCTCCGGCTTTATAGCTAGTTTCAGCTCATTGTTTACCTGCCTGGCCCACAACTTTACTCTTCTGGCTCACTCTCACTCTCCCATGTTAAAAAAATAAAAGTGCCCTCTTGGATGCTCGCATTGTAGATAAAACACAATGAAACACAGAGAGCCCTCTAGGGTGCCCTTTCAGTGGACAAAACATGATAAAATGCCCTCTAGAGTGCCCTTCAAGTGGACATAACATGGTAAAATGCCCTTTAGGATGTAACCATGACTAAGCGGTTTTACCATAAATGCATCATGACTTTCTGCGCGTTAGTGTCTCACTGCATAGTCAGCGACAAGCTGGTGAACAAAGTGGAGCATTTAGCAGCTAAAGAGCAGGAAACCAAAACAGAGCTAATAAAAGAGTTAATATAGCACCTACATTTGCCAAATTAATGATAATGTTGTTCCATAACTGCTGCAATTGTAAATAAGCATTATTTAGTTACTCAAAAAAAGTAATATTACACTACTCGTTATATTACTTTTTTTTTTAAATGGTAATTATGTCCCTTCTCCCCAAAATTCAGACTTACAATGATTCAATACTAGGCAATATAATATGTAAATGTTGTGTTTACCAAGTGTTTCTGCTGCCACCACGTGGCCAAAAAATAAATATATCTTTTTTAATTAAAGACAAATTTGCCCAAGGTGGACTTTCAGGGGCTCTTGAATTCTTAGACCCTGCTATGATGTATCCTGTGGATAAGTCTGCAGGCAACTTGCCTTGGATATGTGTTGTTCCAACAGAGTGCAGACAGGTTGGATAGTTTATCCATTCTCGCCCTGAGGACAGGAAACTCTTTCGTCGATGCATTTTGTGTGTATCTCTTTTTTTTCTTCTTCTTCCTTTTTCTCATCAGTGAGTAACCCAGTTTCTGCGCATCGTTTCTGAGTCCTGATCGAGGTTTTCCCAGAACTGCAGTTTTGGTTCACAATCCGCCCTGCGCAGAGAGAGAGAGAGAGAGAGAGAGAGAGAGAGAGAGCGCTCCTCCTCCTCCGTCTCTTCCCACCACTCATCCCGAAAAGCCAACCTTAGACGGTCTCCACGGCGGAGTCCTCTCATCACTTCTCCCGTCTCATAATGGAAACGGAATTAAAACAGCTGTGGTACGTCCGTCTCCGGTACTTTTCCGCTTTCACCTCGGCAGTAGCGTTTATCTAACGTGGCTCTCCTCTTCGCTTAATAACTTCTTCTTTCTTGGTATTTTGTTTCCCCAGACACGGCTTTTTATTATTTTTTATTATTTATTTTTTAGGAAATAACCAAACCTACGACTTGTAAATAAATTGCTCTTGAAGAAGGTCGTGTTTCTTTGGATGGAGAAATTTGAATCGGTGAGTTGTAATCGAAGATAAAGCTGTTTAATATGAAGCGTGTTTAGTTGCCAACCTGTTCGGGAAAATTGGATCGCTTTTCTTTATTCCGTGTTGAGGGTAAGTAGCCAATTGACAAAAATGCTTGTTTAGAATCGAGTCACATGCATCTAAAATCGTGAATTTAATCAGAATAATCCTGAACTACTTTCATTTATTTGGAGTAAAATAAAGATGCATCTGGTTGGAACTCAACAGGTTTTGGATCTCCAGCTTGTATTTTAAGAGGACTATAGCCTTGTAAATGTGCCTGTTTATAGAAACGAGTTCAACAAAAGCCTGTTTTATAGGCTCTTTTATGATGCAGTTGCTTGGTCGCCTTGAGTTTTAAAAGTAAGATGCAGTGAACTGTGTTCCAAGGATGCTTCTTGACTGTAACTCAATAGAGAGGATGTGAGAAATATATCCTTAAAGTAATTATAGGGAAGATGATGCTTAGTGGAAATTGCAGTATGTCTCTGTAACCACATTAAAGCTTACAATATTAAATATATATATTTTTATTGTGCACTTAAAGGTTTCTCACCTTAAGTGTGATGTTAAATTGTATTAAAGGCACTTTTTGCTGTCTCAGCTAGACTGCCTTGTTAGGATATGAGTTGTGTTGTTTGTTTTTGTCTTCAATGTTACATCCAGTTCCTTTTTTTTACTCTCTCACTTTTTTCACTAGATCTAGATTACTTCACTCTCTCCCACATCTGTTGCCTCAATTTATCTTAAATTATCACCTTTTTCTCGGGGGGGGGGTGGTATCTCATGAATTGGTCTTACTCTTCCCTCTGTCATAATCAAAACAGCTCTGTCCCTCCTATTCTTATCAACTCCTCCCTCTCTTCCCTTTTTAGATGGTGAATGAGCTAAGTTCAAACTGGTTGTGAAGGTGCTGGACTTGTTCCCCCCCAAGCCCCAAGCCGGACACAGCATGGCGGCGGGAGTAGCGGCATGGCTTCCCTTTGCCAGGGCGGCAGCGATCGGCTGGATGCCTGTGGCCAATTTGCCCATGCCAGTTGCTCCCACTGAGAAGAACAAGCGGCAGGATGAGCTAATCATTCTTAATGTCAGTGGACGGCGCTTCGAGACCTGGAGGAACACGCTGGACCGCTATCCAGACACCCTGCTGGGGAGCTCGGAAAAGGAGTTCTTCTACAACGAGGAGACCAAAGAGTACTTCTTCGACCGGGACCCAGATGTGTTCCGCAGCATTCTCAACTTCTACCGCACAGGCAAGCTCCACTACCCACGCTACGAGTGCATCTCCTCCTATGAAGAGGAGCTGGCTTTCTTTGGCATCATCCCAGAAATCATCGGGGACTGCTGTTATGAAGAGTATAAGGATAGGAAGAGGGAGAATGCAGAGCGTCTGATGGATGACCAGGAGGACAACAAGGATGCTAAGCTGCCCAACATGACCTTCAGGGAGACAATGTGGCGGGCTTTCGAGAACCCCCACACTTCCACTATGGCCCTTGTCTTCTACTACGTCACTGGCTTCTTCATAGCTGTCTCCGTCATCACCAATGTGGTGGAGACAGTGCCCTGCGGGTCATCACCCAACCAGAAGGAGGTGCCATGTGGTGAGCGCTACACCGTAGCCTTTTTCTGCATGGACACAGCCTGTGTCATGATCTTCACCGTGGAGTACCTGATGCGCTTGTTCGCTGCGCCTAGCCGCTACCGCTTCATGAGATCCGTCATGAGCATCATTGATGTGGTGGCCATCTTGCCCTACTACATTGGCCTGGTGATGACTGACAACGAGGACGTGAGTGGCGCTTTTGTGACACTCCGTGTTTTCCGCGTCTTCCGTATCTTTAAGTTCTCCCGTCACTCGCAGGGCCTGCGCATCCTTGGCTACACGCTAAAGAGCTGTGCCTCAGAGCTGGGCTTCCTGCTCTTCTCCCTCACTATGGCCATAATTATCTTTGCTACCGTCATGTTCTACGCAGAGAAGGGTTCAAGCTCCAGCAAATTCACCAGCATCCCAGCCTCCTTCTGGTACACCATCGTTACTATGACAACACTCGGGTAAGAGCAGACACCTCTTTTATCTTGTTGCGAGTGCTGTGTGTGTGTGTGTGCGTGTGCGAGCAAGTGCATGTTTGTGTATGCCAGACTGTGTGGATGTGTGTACATGTGTATTTGCAGTTGGATCTGTTATGTGTGAGTAAATGTTTGATTATGATTTGACTTGAAATGTGTGTCTGACTCCGTGGCCCAAAAACCTACAACTGTTTCAGAAGTCAGAGCCACCCTTTCCAAGACGTACTTTACCAACTTTACGCTTAACGATAAGAATGTAAAGAGAAATGTGACTTTTCACTAGACTGTGTGCCTTTACAACTAAGGGTATTCTTCTGGGAGTAGAGCAGCCATCAGGTTATTGTCTCCGAGTAATGGCTGTGCCATAGCATGCCCTTTATACATCACTGATAATGGAGAGAGAGAGAGAGAGAGAGAGAGAGAGAGATTGTAGAGAAAGGGGGAAAGTTGAAAGCATTTTAGTGAAACTAAAACACTGGATAGAAAATAGAGAATCAGAGATTATACCATTACTTCCCTCTCCAACTTGCCCTGTGGTTAACAGCAATGCTCTTTCAGTCAGAATGAAGTGAAACAGTGACTTTGCATTTTGAGAGCCCTCCTCCTCCACTCACTCTTTGTGAGTTACACTAGTTGCTGGCCTTGAAAATTAAGTGCCTCTTAGTACAAAGGCTCTGATGAAGAATATCAAAATGCTCTCCAATTTAAGAGGCACGTGAGTGGCTCAGGTATTTGCATATGGGTAACAGGCAGAGATGTTTATTGTTATTAACACAGACTGTTTTTATTGTTCACTGAATGCCAAATTAACCTATAACCCAGGGCTGCTGTTATTGTTTGCCTTTACAAGGTCATGAATTAGCTTTGATTGAGGTTTACTGGATGAACACGAAGAGCATTTTGATGCATTCATTTGTTATGTCTTCCAACCAGTTTTTCTTCATTTTTATGTTATCATATATTTCCACCAGTGGTTTTATGGTAGTGAGGGGAACCACACATATATCATTAATTTTACACTACGTGTGCACACACACAGCCACACAGTTCTGTGATGCAGCACTATTAGGCCTAATGGTACTGTGCTTCATGAGCGTCCCCTGTTGTGGATGTGTGAGTCAGACTGAGAGGCTGACAAATTGCAGCATCCTGCTAAATGTCATGGAGGCCATAAATGGCTCTGAGCTCATTGCCGTGACACACTTGGCACCCTGTTATCGTGTCCTGCCATTCAAAACCTGCCCAGAAGATCTGGTGTTTGTTGAACACATGTTTGATTCTGGATCGGTTATTTGGTCTGCGGACAGATGAACAGCCCCTGAATTGTGGAAAATAGCATTGGCACTGTCTGCTCTGTTGCTGTTAATTTTGTGAACACACAGCGGCTTACTTTGCTGTCAATGCTAGCCCGTAGTCTCTCACACAGTACCCGTCTCTTCCCACTGGAGTGAGACCTGAGACTCTAAACATGTCTCCTGTTGCTTTTACAGTAGGATTGTGCAAGAGGAGGGGTGTGTGTGTGTGTGTGTGTGTGTGTGTGTGTGTGTGTGTGTGTGTGGTGTGTTTTAAGAGGGGGGTAGTTGTTGAGCATGGCCTCATCAATAAAGCAGTGGCCAGAAGTGGGTGTCAGAGTGACTAATGATGTGGCCCACTGCTTCTGCTGACTAATGTAAACCTGACATTCTGGTCTCTGCTCTTGGTTTACATCATAAACACACCCAAACTAGCCGTATACAAAAATATTTGGCTTTCTGCATGTATACACATAAATGCAAACCTTTCATTGTATTTGCATTGATATGCATGTTATAAGACCTTGTATGTGGGTTTTCCTTGAGTGGGCGTAAGTCTGTTTGACATGTATTGTAATTTCAGATGCGCAACTGCTATCTTTGAAGTTTTTCCACTCTTTACTCCACTAACTTGCATTGAAATCTGTGAAAAAGCATCTTGACTGTCTGCTGTAAAGCAATCATCTGACTAAATAAGATGAAAGCCAGTTCCCACAAAAGACGTTTTTCTTGACTTCTTGTCTCCCCGTCTAGGTGCCTTAGGGCTTAGAGTTGTGCTGTCGAGAGTGTGTACTGCTTTGTTCTCCTAGTGGAGATACTCATATCATCGGCACTCTCATGTTGAATTTACTGTTAACTTGTGAGCTTTAGCCCTGGTATCTGTGCTGCACTCTGAGAAATACTGTGTTTGTGTGTGTTTTGATCATTTGGTGTGTCCGTGTATGTAGCCCATGGCAGATTGTGGCGTGTTAGGTTGTGTGGTTACATGCAGACACCTGTATTCATTAGCACTGTGACACACAGCAACAAAGGTGCCGTTATTGTGTCACGTATGCTGGTGGCCTGCTGTTGCTTTTTGAACGTTTTGTTTATCTGACAATAATCTGACCTCAATCAGAGTCTATAATCCCTCTATAACAATGCAATGAAATACTGAAATAGGTGAATCACTTTTTTTTTTAAGTGCAGCTCTCCTCTTATTTCCCGGGAATGGACAACCGATTGTCAGAAGAGAACTGGCAAATGGCGTCTGGGCTAAGAGATTGAGAAAGCTAGGGATAGAGAAAAAGATGCAATCAGGCATCTATTTATTGCACCTGACTTTTTAGTTACATCTAAAGGGGATTACAGAAAGACAAAAATTGCAGAGGACACATTTTTGTACAAACTGGCTTTGGCACAAACAAGATAAGAGTCTAAAATCCCCCAAAAAAGCGGACCCCAGAGGCAGTGCTGCTGCTCATGACCAACTGGACAAAAAGGACGTTTAACCACTCATGCAAGTTAGAAAGCCACCAACCAACAATGCAATCCTTAGAGTCCCGTGCTCACTCTGTAGCAGAGCAAAACGGCTTAGCTAAAATCCAGCAAATGAGGGGCAGGCCGGCAGGCAGGGACACAGTGGTGAGGCTTAAGCTAAATCAGAGACATTTAGACAATAGGACCTGTGAGGGATTTTGTTCCCTAGGTTGTTAAACAAATTGATTTTGACCTTTGTGTGAGAATAAATTTGAGCGTTTGTCATATTTGGTTGAACCATTAATATAAACTGAGAGAAGGTGTTTGTGTGTTTTTGTGTGCAACTGTTAAACCTTAGTTTTTCATTAGTGGTCTATATAGGCTTTATGTAGTTCACGTCCTGTGGAAGAGACACAAGAAGCCCATGAAAGAAAACCTGACTTAATTGTCCTAGTGTGATCCCAGTTCGGCAGTTAAGTTTGTAATGATCTCTAACAAGATATTTTTGTACGTTGTGTATATTATGTTTATTCATCATAATCTGTTTGGAGAATTTTTTTGTTTACATTTAGCACTGGGACCAAGTGCTTTAATAGCTAACATTTTAATCATAGTGAGTATAAAATATTATCACAGTTGAACCTCTAAATGCAGTAGCAAATGAAATCACTTCCTAAAAGCCCTCTGTGGTGATTGTCAAGTGGATTTTTTCCTAATGAAGGAGGACTTAGGAAAGTGTGCCATAAAGATGCATGCTTTTGTTTTGAATCTCTGTAGCAGCTCACCCCAAAAACCTCTCTCTGTTGTTAGCCAGATAGAGTAAAAAGGGGAATTAAAGTATTGTAGCAACCACCACTCATCAACACTGGTTCACTATATAATGAGGCTCTTGACTGATTGAGGAAGCCAGGCCAGCACTATAGTGAGCCATTATAGCTAACGTATATACCACTATTCGCTGTGGGTGCTATTACACTGTTGGCTATTAAACCACCATAGCCAGACCTCCGAATAGCCTGCCCACATCTCTGATTTGTTCAGCGACTCATGTAGTTTTGGCGCTGTGCTCATTAAAGCTTTTTCTACTCTGAGAAACAAGCGATCAATCAGAGTTTTATAGGCAGGATTAAGAATTTCATTTCCTTGCATAGCTTGGCTATGAGTTTAAATGAAAACGTCTGCTTCTGACCTATAGCGAACATATGTTCACAACAAATTAAAAGAGGCTATGTTCATTACTTGGTTGTAATCTAAGTTGAAGCCTGGTATTTGGCAGCAGTGAGACTGTATGTCAACATCAGGCATGAACATGATAATATTAGCCTAATGCTGGCTGGCACTTTTTTAGTAGCAAGTCATTACAAAAGTTAATTTAGCTAACCATTTACAACATTAATGTCTAACAAAATTCTGGTCTGCTTACATGCATTTGGGATATTTTTTTACTGAGCAAACTAGCCTTTTGTTTGTTTGTTGATGTGCATAATATGCATAATATAATGATGGTAAAATTGGTGTTTTTTTGCAGATTTTCACACCAAGCTAGTTTTTGCCACTAATGCGAGAAAGACTTTATTGTATAAATGATATTTGTTGTCTTGTAGTCAATTTACAAGGCTGTAAACTGATAAACAGTGTGTATTAGTTTGAGCAATAAAGAGCAACTAGTTCCACTGCTCTCTTAAAATGCAATCTGTTACACGTAACAAAACATGTCCACTGTTCTCTATGCATCTTGTCATCTTTGCAGACTCATTAGGTTGTATTGCATGCATAAGTATTGATGAGAGCTGGAGTGTTTGGTTGTGTTGTAGTCATTAGCATAACCATGCCGGAGTATGATTAATATCCTTATCAAAGACCAGCTTCTTTTGATCACTGCTCCTCTAAGATCAATGCACTGCTCTCTGTCTCCCAGACAACCATGCAAGACCTTTCACGTACACTGTAGCGCATGGGTTGTGTGTGCACGTAGAAGACGTATGTTAGTGTTTACTTATGCCCATAAAGGGCATATGTGTGGCTTTCCTAGTGTGCATTTTTTTCCACCCCCTTTCACATGCCCTGTCACCGAGCTCTCATTTATAGAGCATTTATTTTGGAGCCAACAGCTTGTGAAAAACGATGATCAATGCAAATGAGTGAATATTGATTTGGGCAGTAGTGACAAATGTTGCAGCCATTGTTAGTGCTACTAATTAGAATTGGTGATGAGAATATGACTAAAAGATAGCA